TTTCAAAAAATTCATCGTAGAAAAGGGGATCAGTCACGTGCTAAACGCGGTAGCCACTCCCAGAGCAACTGGGCAGGTGGATCGTTACAACAAAATGATAGTAGATTCGCTAACTGCGAAATCAATTGGTTCATCTGATAACAAATGGGACGACCACCTGTTTGATGTGCAATGGGGCATGAATAATACTTTTAACAAAGGTATGTATAATCGTACACCCGCTGAAGCCTTATTTGGAAAGAGGTTAACTGGAGCTAGTGAAAGTAGAATAACATAGGAGTTACAAAACGATATAACGTCAGAAAGGAATCATCAAGATTTAACTAAAGTTAGAGAAGAAATTAACTCTCACATACAATGTAACCATGTAAAACAACAACGTTATTTCGACAAAAAAGACGTGAACCTACTACATACCAAACCGGTGATCTTGTTCAGGTGAAACGCCAGGTACCATCGACAGGACAAAGTAAAAAGTTAATTCCAAAATTTCAGGGGCCATATAGGATGGCAAAAGTTTTAGATAATGATCGCTATCAGATAGAGGACACACTACTGACAAAAAAGGGAAACAGGCTTTATTCAACTGTGGTTGTTGTTGATAAAATTAGTCCGTGGTTGAGTTTTAATAGGCCTCATGACAGTGATACGGACTTATCCATTGAATCAGAGTAATTCTAGTAATAACTTTTAATGTTGATCATTTTAAACTTCTATTGCCATAATTATTTTAATTATATTAAATTAATTTTATATCATATAATCCCTATAAGAACAGAAGGGTTCTTATATGGGTAAGGACGGAAGGGTTCTAATAATGTTAAAAGGACGGAAGGGTCCTAACAGTGTTAAAGGATGGAAGAGTCCTAGTAATAATTATAAGATGGAAAAGTCCAAATGATATTAATGGCAGAAGGGCCATATTATAAGTTAGATGAATGTAATGTACACATAGGTATAAATATATAAGTACTGATCTTCACATTCATTATTACCTGTTGATTGTTGATTAGCTTTATATGTATATTGAATAGTTTAGATATGGATTTATATCGAGTCAAAATTTAAGTAACAATTGAACGCGAGGTCACGTTCTCTGCAGGATGACCGACTGTCAGCTGTTATTATTTCATAAAGTAGGAATTGTGGTTACAATATTAACAGTTATATCTGCTAAGAATTTATGTCTAATTTTATGGCAATTCCATCATAAACAAATAGACCTAGATAAAATTTAATTATACGCTTGCTTGTGCAAAACGAAAACACCTGCGCAGACGCACCTGCGTGCGCAGGTGTCATTCTGCCACCCCGTCCCACTTCGAGCTCGTTTA